AAGAAGATGCTGCGAAAATAATGAATTTATTTCAGGGCATTAATACATTTAGATATGATGCAACTGCAATGTGTTCATCTAGTGCCATGTCGTCTACATCTGCATCTCATCAAACATCGGCCGAAACTCACAATGCGATGCCTGTCGAATTAATTGATTATTTCAATCATAATATGTCAACAGACAGAACAATTAAAAAATTTTCAGAAGAAGCAATTGAGTTTTGGCGAAAGTATAAAAGAAGTTGGTCAATTATTTCTGCAATTACGAAAGATCTATTGACACCTCCAGTTAGCACTGTTGCTTCGGAGTCTGCTTTTAGTGCAGGTAAAAGGGTTTGACCGATGTCAGGAGCCGACTGAAAGAAAATATTTTGGAAGCGTTAATGTGTGTGAAGAATTGCAGGACGCTCATTTTCGACTATAAGATAAATACGCTGAAATTACATGTCGTCAGGTAAGTGATATTTGATTTAATTATATTAATCAAATTTTTTTATTTTTTAATCTTTAAATTTAATTTTCTTTAAAAAATTGTACACATTACAATAAATTATTCGTGTACAATTTTTAACTCCGCCTACTTAAAATTGATGTAGCCGGTCCCAAACCCGGATAAAGGATGAGGGTTTACATTTTATTTACTTTAAAAAGAAATAAAAAATATATATTTTTTGTAAATGTATTTCAAAAAATAATTCGTTTTCATTATATAAATATTTTATAATTTATAAAAAGTATTACAAATTACAATATGATATAAATAAAAATAAATAAAAACTTGTTTTCATTAAATTATTTGTATTTTTTAACATTTTTTATTTTTAAAACTCTATTATTTATTCACTTTAAAAAGAAATCAAAAAAATATATTTTTTGTAAATGTATTTCAAAAAATAATTCGTTTTCATTATATAAATATTTTATACTTTATAAAAAGTATTACAAATTACAATATGATATAAATAAAAAAAATAAAAATTTGTTTTCGTTAAATTATTTGTATTTTTTAACACTTTTTATTTTTTTAACACTTTTTATTTTTAAAGCTCTATTCTTTATTTAAAAAAAAAAAAAAGTAGGCGAGCCCACGAGCCGAGCTCGCCCAATTTCAACGAGCCGAGCCCGAGCTCAGCTCGTTGAAAACGAGCCACAAGCTCGGCTCGCCATGAGCACGAGCCAAGCTCGTGGCATTAAGGGCCGAGCCGAGCCAACCCTAGATCGAACTGACATATATCCATATATGATTTATTTAGTTAACAGATTATCATATTGAGATTGAAACTCTAAATTCATCTCCCATTAACTTCATTATATTCGAATCAAAATTTAATCCATTGACGGCCCTATCTCCAAGACACTATTTAAATATGAGATGATCTCTATTTTAAAAAGTCAACCTTTAAAATCACGCTGCAAAAGACTCCTTAAATTAATATTTTAATTCAGAGAACGGGTTTGGCTCTCTAGATTTGGAGAGCCAAACTCATTCTCTATAACTAAATGCATTTAAAATATCTCAATTTTCAATATTGGAAAATAATAAAATAATTTAGAGAAAATTTAGTTAAAATAAAAAATAGAGAAAAATAATAAATATTTTTTGGGAGTTAAATGTTAAATACAAAGAATTTGTTGGAGTGCTTCAAAAATTTTAATTCTCCAAATTTATAAATGTTCTCTAAATGATAGAATATGCTTTTAAAAATAATCTCTTAAAGATGCTTTTAGTATAAAAAATATTAATGAACAACCTTACTATTACGATCGACAGTCAATGGTCACCTTAACTGACCTTCAATCCTGGATCCACAAATGATAATAGCTAATTAGCTATCATAAAAAATTGTAATATTTTCTTCTATCACAGAAAAATTACGAAACAATTTGAATTTTAACTTGATTATAATTATTTAGTTAAATGGTAAAAATAAGGGAAATTTAGCGCGGATGCCCAAACATTACAAATTAGTGCAGATAAGTCCATAACCTTTAAATTGTAGCAAATATCCCAAACCTTTCAAACGTGAAGTAGAAGGACCTTTGGATAGTTTTCTTCCAAAAACTCATTAGTTGACCTAAAGGCAAGCTTTTGATTATAATTTGACCAATTTTTAAAAATGACAAATTGACTTTTAACCTTTAGTGCTTCTTTGGTACAGATTTTAAACCAATTAAAATCAATTTTTTAACCTTTATTTCACTATTTCAATCGTTATTTTTGAATTCTTCTCTCAATGGTAGGATCCACTTTAACTCTAACGGTCAAAAAATCAATTATCAAAATCCCTACCAAACCAATATTAATCAATAAGAACAAGGAAAATTTGTGTCGGAAGTCCATACCTTTTAAAAATGTACACTGCATCTCAAACTTCTACTAACTGTGTGCCAGTTCGAATAGAATCAATTATTATTGTCACGCTACTAAAGTTAGGAAAAATGATAGTGACACGTTTCCATCATCAATAATATATTACCCTCTATATAATAAATTTGAAGAAAAAACCTTGACATTCTGCTTGTCAACCTGATTGAGGCTATATCCCATTACTCCATTACATTGTGTATTATTGAATTAAATCTATATGAATTCATAATTGTGTAAATTTATATTATGGATTTTGAATGAACTGAAATTTTTGGAACCCATCCTCGACAGTGTAGATGAAGTTGTGGCCCTCACGATAGCAGGTGAACGACTTGGTGGTGGACAAGAGTTTCAAGAGGCAAAAATCTATTATAGTAAGATTTATTTGATTGTTGATGTAGCACCACAAATGTTGAGTTTCTATGTCAAGCGCGATCATCCAACAATAAAACTGTTTGGACAGGGCGTTTGGACAGGGCCACGTTGGCCTTGTCCAAACGGGGGGCTTAATTGGCACCCTCCTATTGAGCCCGCCCCAATAGGAGGGCGCCAATTTAGCGTACTGGACGGCCCGTCAAACAAAACCCACCATTCAAAGGAAAGGGACTAGTCACTAGGTGGTGTCAATTAAAATGAACAAAAGCCCTTTTATTTTGAACAATGAAAAATCAATGTATGAAACTAACATTATTGCAACACAAAAAAAAAAAAAAAGGGAAAATTAGATAAGAAAAAAAGGCCCCTTTGATTTGGAAATTGAATTCTGTCCTTATGCTATGATGACGTTAATAGAGCCATGACGTCAAGCGATAAAATGAATTAGTTTTCTATGGTTCCATTTAGATCGCACAGAGAAGAAAAAATATTTATTTATTATACTGCAATAAATTCCCATGGCAATAAATGTTACGGTGAATTTGATTGTTAATATTTTTTCATGAAAAATATGTTTTTTTCACCCAAATTTCTACTTTTATATTATTTGACTGACATTTTTTTCATCGAAAACATTGTCCTACTTTTGGTCATGTGACTATTTTTTCTCAAAATCAAGGAAAATGTTTTCTTTAGGGAGAATATAATTTTATTTTCCACTGAATTCATTCTCTCTTTCTCTTTCTTATATATCAACTCTCTCTCATCTATCCACCAATAAAAATCGGACAAGTAAAATATATTTAGGTTAAAAAATAAAATCAATCAAATACATTTAATTGACGATTTTCACGCAAATAAGTTCTAGGCAATTGATTGCCTAGAATTTATTTTCTTTCGATACAAATTATATGCTTGCGATCAAACGTATCTTTATTGTAAGCTATAGGAGTCGGCTTATTCTTCATCCATCTCGAAAACCATCATGTTACTTTACAAATGAGCATTATTCTTCTAGCTAGGTTTATTTAAATAAAATTCAATCGTGGAATGCATGGAATCCGATATATAAATGAGTTGATAAAGGAATTGAGAAAGTTTTTACTAAATCGCTAAGTTATATACGAATTTCTGGGCCCAAGAGTTGACAATAATGGGCACCTTATCGCTTTGTACATCCTTGTCAATTTTCATTAAGATAATTTATTTCGAAAATAGAGAAAATACTAGAAAGTCAAACCTATGGACAAGATAAGGTGGATTAGCTAATCAATCGCTAAGAATGATTAGGACATTAGATTAAAAAAGCATATAACGAAGCATTATTGACCTAACAACGTCTTATTCTACAAAGGTTTAATGATTGTTCAAAAAAGTTAAAAAATTGTTTAAATATACATATTATCACAATTTGAAGAAGCCACTTTCCTCTTGGTCTTTTTTTTTTTAAAATTAGAGTCGTTTAATTACACTTGGTGATATGATATACAAGTTGAGTATAAGCATATTCTAGGAATGAAACCATAATCTTGGGAACAAATGAGCTGGAAAGGTAGACTTTTTAGCTACACTATGTTTTACGAATTGATAGGCCATCTCTCTTTATCACATCTAAATCTTACGTAAGTGTGGGAAAAATACAGGAGCAGAACCATTCATTGGAAAAACAATCAGTCAGTTGTCCAAGTGGTGACTCGGACTGCTTCCAGCAGCTCGAACAATGAGATTCTATTTTATATCTTGTCTTAGCTTTAACTTAACAAAAGCTTACAAAGCTTCGGTTCGAGTGGATTCCAAAGGGGTTAGTCCTTTTTTCGATATTTCTACATTACCCTTTATTTACTTTCATGAAATTAAGAGGGATGTCAAGAATTCGAGCCGAAACTTGAGGTTCAGGCTTAGCTCAAGTAAAAATGGTTCGAACTTTTTTTAGCCCGAGCCAAAAAAATCTAGGCTCATCCCTCAAGTCGAGCTTTATCAAGCCGAGTCGACTCATGTAATTTTTATTTTTTTTTTCAACACAGTTACCTATAGCCTTCTTCTTTTTCTTTTTAAGGGTCAGCTCATTTCAAGTCAAAAATGGCCTGTGATAGGAGCCGATTGACTCGGGCCACTGCTGGCTCCTGAATGGGGCTCGTCCCCAGCCTCGAGTCAGGCTGGTTCGAGCTTTTTCCTAGGCAAATTTACACCCTGATGTGCAACCAACGACGTTTTCAATCAGGCTATTACATAATCAAGGGGGAGAGGGAGAGGGAGAGAGAAGGGAGCACAAACCATTATACTTATTTACGAAGAGTTACATCATAGATAGAGCAGCACCTAAAAGGAGAGAAAAAGGGAGAAGATACAACACAACTTAAATACATCCAAAACAAGAGGAAAAGGGAAATGATGGGAATAAAAATTAAAGAAACCCTATATCCACAGGGAATTCATGTGCAGTTTTCAAGGTCCTCTCCACTTTCGTGTACTTGTGAGAATGAATCATCAAACAAATGCACAATTGTCTTAAGCGTTGCTCCTGAAAGAACCCAGTGCCTTGATGGCTCCTGCCCTTAGGATGTATTGGTGGTAGATTGCAGCAATTAGAGCTCCAACGAATGGTCCAACCCAAAAAATCCACTGAATATTAACAAATATATTAGTACTATCTTCGTTTTTAATAACTCGTTTAAAAGCTTAGTCCATGTTTGGTAAAAATTAAAATTCAGATTTTAATCTAAGTCAAATTTAATAATTAATTCTAACAACATATTTTAGGGGACCCACAACTTTTCAAGTACACATTTCATCAACTTTTATCAAAATCTATTATAAATCTGATTTTAATCCCTATCAAACAGGGGCTTAATGTGTTAACGGGAGAGGAATGTGTTAAATTACGTCTTGAACACATGTCCTCATGCGCAGACATGAGACGTGCATATTTTTATAAATGAGTGGAAGTGCAACTTGAACTCGGGACCTCCTACTTGTTTTTGTATCAAATTGAGATACCCTTGTCCAAAAACTAAAAAGATAAATTGGGGACTTGACTAGCTTTTATGAATTATGTCATTAAATTCTATAAAAATAATTACAATTTAAAAAAAAGGGGGGGGGGGGGGGGGGGTGGT